AAAAAAAAAAAAAAAACCCAAAAAAAAAAAAAAAAAAAATACCTTATTACCTACTAATAGGGGAGGGAAGGAGACAATAATAAAAAAAGGAGACAATAATAAATATAATTACCTATTAATAGGGTAGGGGAGGGAGTAAATAAAATAAATAAAAGGAGACAAATAAATAAATAAATAAATAAATAAATAAATAAATAAAAGGAGACACTTAATAAATATAATTACTTATTAATAGGGTAAGGAAGGAGACACCTAAATAAATAAATAAAATAAATAAATAAATAAAAAGGAGACAATATAATTAATTACCTATTAATAGGGTAAAGAAGAGGAAGGAGGAGACAAATAAATAAATAAATAAATAAATAAATTAAATAAATAAATAAATAAATAAATAAATATAATTACCTATTAATAGGATAAGGAAGAGGAAGGAGACAATTCATGGCTATTTTTTCTTTATTTTGTCTATAAAAATAAAAAGAGTAACGTAAATCAGCAAATATAAATAAATAAATATTATTATTTAATAAAGGAGATAAGGATAATAATAATAAATTTATTATTGTCTCTTTTTCTGTCTCCTTTTCTTCTCCTTCTTTTTCTCTCTCTTTTTTTGTCTCCTCTTCTTGTATATATTTATATATATTATTTATTAATCTTTTTTCTTCCTTATTTAATTTAATTAATTTATTTTCTTTATTATTTATTTCTTCTTTTATTCCTTCTTCTTTTTCTTTTATTTTTTTTCTTTTTTTTTCTTCTTTTTCTTTATTATTATTATTATTATTATTATTATTATTAATTAATTCATCAGCAGCAGCAGCAGCAAGCAGCTGCACAGCAACACAGTCCCCTCCTAATTTATTTTCTTCTTCTTCTTCTTTTCTTCTTATTAATTCTCTTAATAACATTTCTTTCTCCTTCTTATCTATATCTATATCTGTACCCTCTCCTACACCCCCAATACTATCAAGAGGGGCCCCTGTGGGGCCCCCTAAGGGGGCCCCCCCTGTGGAGCCCTCTGATGGGGGCCCCTTAGAGGTGCTCTCTGATGGGGGCCCCTCTGTGGGTCCCTCTGATGGTGGCCCCTTAGAGGTATTTTCTGAGGGGGGCCCCTCTGATGGGGCCCCCCCTGATGGGGACCCCTCTGATGAGGGCCCCTCTGATGGGGGCCCCTCTGCTGGGGGCCCCTGATAGTCATAATTAAGTTTAAGTATAGAAGGAGGAAGAGAAGGAAGAAGCTGATTAGCAGTAAATGCTCCTTTATGTTTCTTGCTTGCTGCTGCTAATGCATGCAGCCCCTGCAGCAGCAAAGAAAGAGGTGCATGCAGTAATTGTGCATGCACAATACCATCATTATCTTCCTCTTTTCCTGCTGCTGCTGCTGCTGCTGTTCCTGCTGCTGCTGCAGCATCCTTGATGCGACATCCAGGCCATCCTGCTGCAGCACCGACTCGAGTTGCTGTTGCTGCTGTTGTTGCTGCTGCTAGTGCTTCTGCAGCAGCAGCATCTAAGCCAGCAGCAGCAGCAGCAGCAGCAACTCGTTGCTGCAGATCCTCTAGGCGGGCAATTGCCTTAGAGAATAAAGTGTGCCACCGCGAGGTAGGCAGCTCAAATTGTCTGCATGCAGCAGCAGCAACAGCAGCAGCAGCAGCAGCAGCAGTACAAAGAAATAAATAAATGAATAAATAAATAAATGCATAATGCATGCAATGCATGCAGCAGACACCCTAAATAGCCCCACAGCCCCAAAACCCTTCCCTTAAAAGCGCGTTGCAGCAGCAGCAGCAGCATTAGCAGCGGCAGCAGCACTACCATCAGGAGCAGCAGCAACAACAACAACAACAGCAGCAGCAGCAGCAGCAGCAGGAGCGTACCTTAGAATATTAGTAATAGCCTGTGCCAGTTGTTGCTGCCTAATAGTATTTAATATTCTTTTATGTGTTATATTGAATAATTTTCCCTGCAGCAGCAGCAGCAGCAGCCGCTGCGCTGCAGTGTCGCTGCGTATAGACAGCCGGTGTGGCAGCTGAGCAGCAAATGCCCTTAATGGCTCATTCATGTTTGCTGCTAGCAGCTGCTGCACTATTGTACCCGTCATGCTGCATGCACTATCCATCTCTATACATTCAGGGGGTGAATCTGCTGCTGCTGCTGCTGCAGCAGCAGCAGCAGCAGCTATATCTACACCACCGTCAGGGAAAGGAGCGAATGTGCTGCTCGTGCTGCTGATGCTGCTGATGCTGCTGCTGGGGATGGCTGCTGATTCCCCTACAGCTGCTGCTGTTGCTGCTGTTCCTGCTGCTGCTGTTTCTTTTGTTGCTGCTGTAGTTGTTTCTGCTGTTTCTGCCCCCACTTCTGCTGCTGCTGCTGCTGCTACTGCAGCTGCAGCTGCTGCTGCTGTCTGCTGCTGCTGCTGCTGCTGCTGCTGCTGCATGCGTTGCCTCCTCTTACTAGATAAGACAAAGAGCCCCGCATTCCAACCCGCCAATAAGCCTAAGGCTGCTGCTTCCTCATAACCTATACAGACACATAATAAATAAATAAATAAATAAATAAATAAATAAATAAATAAATAAATATATAAATAAATATATAATTAATATATAATAAATACAAATAGGCAAAGACACACAAAGACAAACAAAGACACAAAGACACGGACAAAGACAAACAAATACAAATAGCAAATTAAGACAGCAAATAAGGACAGCAGCAGCAGCAACAGCAGCAGCAGCAACAACAGCAGCAGGAGACCTGTGGTGCCTAGTATCTGTCCAGCTAAGAAGAGTCCTTGTATAGATTTAGTACAAATAAACAGCAGCAACAGCAGCAGCAGCAGCAGCAGCAGCAACCCAACAGCAACAACAGCACCAACAGTAGCAACACACAACAGCAGCAGCACAACAATAACAACAACAACAGCAGCAGCAGCAGGAGACCTGTAGTTCCTAGTATCTGTCCAGCTAAGAAGAGTCCCTGTATAGATTTAGTACAAAGAGAAGAATTAATTTCTTCTCCTTTTATGATTAAATATTCAACATCGTAAGCAGGACGAAGAATTGCTGCTGCTGCTAATCCTTTTATTGTATGCAGCAGCTGCTGCTGCACTGCAGCAGCAAATGCACCAGATAAACCTGATGGATATATTACTCTTCTTAATTTATCCTCAGGCTCTAGCCATACTATATGATGCTCATTATGTGGATATAAACGCATCTGCATGCATCCATACACACAAACCCTAAACCCTAAACCCTAAACCCTAAACCCTAAACCCTAAAAGTTTAAATAATTGATAATATAACTATAGATACTAGATATATCTTTATTGTTAATTGTTAACAGTGCAGTATTGGGGTAATGGAGGGAAACGGCTGCTGCTGCTGCTGCTGCTGAGTTCCCCTTTGGAAATTTAGGGTTTAGGGTTTAGGGTTTAGGGTTACCTTATTAGCAATAGAAGGACAATACCTTGGACCTATACCATTGCCTTGATTCTCGCGGTGTATAGGGAGCTGATGTAAATTATTAAGAACAATTTCTTTTGTTAATTGTGTTGTTCTTGTTATATAACAATCTATCCATTCTTTTCTTCTTTTTTGCATGCATTGAGGTGTATGTACACCAGAAAAAGGACGAGGAACCTTGTCTGATGGCTGACGCTCTAATACAGAAAAATCTATTGATGAACCCAATAAACGAGCAGGTGTACCTGCAGCAGCAGCAGCAACAGCAGCAGCAACAGCAGCAGCAGTAAATAGAGCAGCAGCAGCAATAGGAGAAATAGAAACAATAACAGCAGCAGCAGCAGCAGCAGCAATAGGGGAAATAGAAACAATAACAGCAGCAGCAGCAGCAGCAATAGGGGAAATAGAAACAATAACAGCAGCAGCAGCAGCAGCAGTAGCAGCAGCAGCAGCAGCAGCAGCAGCAGCAAGAAATACGTATTATCTATCTATTTAGTTTACTAATTATTTTTTCTTTTTTCTTTATTAACTAAATATTAATAAATAATGCAACTATTATAATTTAATTCTTTTTTCTTTTTCCTTCTTTTTTTTTTTCTTTTTTTTTTCTTTTTTTTTTTCTTTCCTTTTTTTTTTTATTTACCTGTCTTGAAGTAAGTAGTCTGTAGACCAAGACGCTGCAAGGAGGCCGCCAATCCATCTGCTGCTGCTTCTACATGCAGGATTGACGGAGGGAGCTGCTGCTGCTGCTGTTGCTGCTGCTGCTGCTGTTGCTGTTGCTGCTGCTGCTGGTGCAACAGGTGCTGTTGTTGTTTGCCTCCTTCTCGTGTTTGTGCTGCTGCTGCTGCTGCTGCTCTTGCTTCTGCTAAGGAATGCATGCGTCCTCCACTAGCTTTGCTGCTGCCAACAGCAACAGCAGCATTTAAGAAAGTACCAACAGCAACAACAACTGCTGCTGCTGCTACCTCCCTCCCATCCTTGAGTCTAACTCCCCACACCCTCCTCTTCTGTTGCTGCTGCTGTCCATCCTGCTGCAGCTGCTGCTGCTGCTGCTGCAGTGTTAGGGGTTCTGTTAGGACCTCCTCTACTGTTGCATCAAGGAAGGAAAGGGTAGGGAATGCAGCAGCAAATCTCTGCATGCAATATGCATAACGACGCCTATCTACTAAGACACGAGTAGACCAAGCAGCAGGACCACGAGAAAGATTCAATACCCGCCAATGTACAGCAGCAAGGTCTGCTGCTCTCCCTATTAGGCCACCGCATGCATCTGCTTCTGTTACTAGTAAACTTTTACCACTACCCCCTATAGAAGGGTTACAAGATAATATTCCTGTAGATAATATACCACCAGGACTTATTATGCATGCATGCAGCCCCAAACGTGCTGCTGATACACCTGCTTCTATACCAGCATGACCACCACCAACCACCAACACGTCATACTTCAGGGGCTCCAAATCCTTCTGCTGCTGCTGCTGCTGCTGCTGTTGCTGCTGCTGCTGCAAAGGTTGCTGCTGCTGCGAAAAATGCTGCTCACTTGGATGACCATGAAGATCGTTCTGCTGCTGCTGATGCTGCTGCTGCGTTCGGTGTCGCACATGCTGCTGCTGCGACAGTTGCTGCAGTGATTGTCGATGGTGCTGCTGCTGCTGCTGCTGGGGTAGCTGCTGCTCCGTTGCATCGATGCTGCCCTCCAAGACAGCCGCTGAAATTTTCTCGAGCTCAAAATTTACAAGATGCTGCTGCCGCCGCAGCTGCTTGTCGGTGTTCTCCTGCTGCTCCTGCTGCTGCTGCAGCTGCTGCAACCGGTTATGGAGGAGCAGCCGCTGTCTTGCTGCAGGAGATTTCTGCCAGTTGTTCAGTCCAGTGTCGCTAACAGAATTGCAGCAAGTCCTGCTGCTGCTTCTGCTGCTTCTGCTGCTGTTGCTGCATCGGGTTAGACGAGGCTCCGGTGTGGCACCTCTGAGGACAAAGGCATTTATTCGGGGAGTTGACGTCGGCGCAGCAGCACTAAATCGTATTGCTGCTTTTGCTGCTGTTGCTGCTGCTCCTGTTGCTGTTGCTGTGGTCTTGTTTTTGCTGGTTTTGCTTCTGAAGCAGCTTCGTCTTCCATCTCTCCCTGCTGCTCTTTCCACCGCCAGAGAGGCGGCAGCAGGAATAGCCACGGGAAGCAGTCCCAGCAGAAGCAGCAACAGCAACAGCAGCAACACTTGGCATCGCTGTAGTTGCTGCTGTTGCTGTTTCTTCTGCTGCTGCTGCTGCTGTCTATAACTTCGCATCTGCCCATTGCCGCGCGGTGTCGATGCTGCCTGGGACAGCGCCTGCAAGTCTGTTTATTTTCCTTTATTTCCCATTCGTCTTCCTTTAGACATAAATTCCTTTAAGGACAATTAGTATTTTCATTGATAAACTCTATCTGCTGCAACAAGACAGCAGCAGACCGCTGCAGGTTAAACAACGATACCAGAGGAGGGGGCCTGCTGCTGCAGTGGTGGCTACAAGATGACTGCAGCAGCTCTATTAAGAAAAAGAAGACTTTATTACTCCTCCCCTTCTCCCTGCATATTGATTTCTTTTAAGTTGTTCTTCTTCCCTTCTTGGTTTATTCTCTATGGAGAGTGTGTGTGTTCTATATGGAACTCCCAGTGTATCGAGCAACTGGCAGGAAAAGGGAAGGAAAGGAGAGTAGCAGCATTCACGTTTATCATTCCTGTTGCATGCAGAAGAAGTGTTTTAAAATGGACTAAAGGGGAGTTGCATGCAACAAGAGGATTCCTGTTATTACAGTCCTTTGCAGCTCCGCGAGTTGCAACTAGAAGTACTGTAGTTCATGTTAGCACTGGCAAATATGTTCCTCCTGTTACGCCAAATGTGTATTTAATAGTTGTACAGTGCCAATGCATGCAACAAAGGGGCCTGTGTATAATGCAGATCCTCGATCTTATAATGGGTTACTGCAGTGACACCAATATACTCAAAGGTAAGAGCTCCTCCTTAGATGCAACTGACCGCTCTCCCCTGTATGCAGGAGAACTGAGCTCGCCCCAAGAGCCTCCAGCTGAGGAAGAGGAGGGTGCCAACCATGATTTGCAAGGGACCTTACTGCATCTCATGTTGCAGGACAGCGCCACATTCTTGCACAAACAAGCCTTCTCACGTACAAACACTACAGATAGTTATACAAGGGTTAGCGTACCGCTTGCGTACCTTTGGTCACTATAACCCCATAAGGATTCATGCGTCCACGTTCTGCAGACTAGCTACATCGTACAGACTGTGCCGCATCTTCCTGTGTTGAGTTTCTCCGGGGGCAACAGCCCGCCAATGTAGCGCTAACACCTAAGTTACGAGCCCATCGTTGAAAGTTTGCTATCCAAAAACTAAGACTCCTTGATACAAACTCTATCAATAGCTTCGCTTGGTTAAGGTTAAGTTTCCTCAATTCTGCCATAAAGCATTTTCGTGACGGCATACGAATCTGTTTTCATCGCAGTGAGCGCAAGAAACCCTCCATTGTCCGGGGAAACGATACAATTGCCGATTTGCAGCCATGAATCTCGTTCCCTCCCTCCGAATAACAAAGGAGCAAATAGTAACTGTAATTCTTTTCGTGCGTTTTAGAGACGAATTCAGCTCCTCAGAGGCACTCCCCTTGCTGCCCTCATATCTGCATGATAGGCAAACTTAGACTTTAGATATTCATCATCAATTTTGCCTTTAGAGCACTTTTCGTGGGATCGAATGCAGAAATCGAGCTTCAGGCACTACAATATCGGGCCTTTAGAAGTTCCCCTTGGTATATGCTAGAAGTAACTACGTTTCTTCCGGTATAGTGAAACAGAAACTAAAGTTGCACAAAACTCTCCCATCCTCCCGACTTCGCGGTGACAGCCATATCATCGTGGCCGACGGCGGCGGAGGTATTCTTCGTGAATCGTTTTTGGTGCAAGGGGGTTTCCCATTGGATTGGATGCTGAAAATGCACTTCATTGAACTAATCCAGGCCCCCACACCTTTGTCGCCTCACCAACAGAGGATACATACTGACAAATCTCCAGTGTCCAGTAATAAAAAGGCTGAGATTGGCCTATGAATTTTTGAAGAATTGATAAAAACCTTCTATTTGAAGGTATACTTTTAAGCCGGCTCGGTATTCTCTTACGGGGTCCCGTTGCTTACAGTTGCGCACCGTGAACCATCCGGTGCTACAGGTGTGGGGCGCGAGCCCGGATCTTACCCGAGAAGTATTGTAAGCTCCAGTGGAGCCAAAATACTCAAGTTGAGAAGTTCCTTACATGCTCCACGCGTCCCGAGCTCAGCGGCTTAAGCGCCTGGAACTGCGAGAGGATGGGCCGCCTGCCATAAGTCGAGTCACAATGGACCTTGCTACATCTAAAGGTGCAAAGTGGCCCCACATATAATCACAATAAAGCTTTCGTGGCTGTGCTTACAGACATCGTAGATAGTTGTTGAGAACACTTGCTTGCCTACCGTTTGTCTACTAAATCCGTGTAAGGGTGCATGCCCCACTTCAGAGGGACTCGCCAACACTGGACAGACTGTGCTAAACTAATCAGCCTAGCATAGCACGGTTGTATGACTTCAGCTCGTGTCCGTGGATACACTCTGGGAGTCCGCTTTTCCAAATCCCACTATAATACACACTGTGACAAACGGAAACTAGGCGTTTTAATGTAAGTGCCAACTTGAGAATAATGCCCGTAGTCAATCAATAGGGGCTCTGTGCATGCGTGCCCGCTGCTGTTGGGGGCCCCAGGATTATCGGCGTCAGGTACCGGGCGGGCGACTGGCGGGGGAGAAGCGGTGAGACAATGATTGCATGCTTTTGTATCTCTAATTTAAATAACACTTTAAAAGGAATTCTTGTGGTCTTATTATATTTCACAAAATGTCGCGACCCGATCCCGACGTGACGGTCCCCGCTGGCGACCCTAAGGCAGGCGCAAAGGTGTTCAAGGCGAAGTGCGCTCAATGCCACACTGTGAACAAAGGTATTTCTTCTCTCTCCGTTTATTTAGATTCAATTTATTCGTTCTCCATTCAAATGAGCCGCTGGGGGAGGGCAGAGCCCAAAGCATTCATTCACCGCTTCCCCTCTCCCAGGAGGAGGATGAAAAAAGGGCGATTGTGACTTGTATTTGATTTTAACTAAATGCTTCCTCCCTGTTAATTATTAAGTTTGTATACTCTAACTCATTTTCGGCTTTTGCCGTTCTTATCTTCTTTGGATTGATTATCCGTGAAGGAGGATAAAGTGTCCTCCGTTGTCGAAAGGTATATTTATTGAACAGTATTATTTCCCGCTTCTCGTTTGTTTTTGTTTGCCATTTGTTGTTCCTCGCTTGTGCGCCTTTTGTTTTGCACTTTTTGCTTGCCAATTGGTAAATTCCGTCCACCCGAGTGCGTTTTCTCATACCCGTGGTCCGCATAAAGTGCATCGGCTCGTTGCATTTTCTCATTTTCCTTCACCTGAATTGCAGTTTCTTACTGTGCACATTTCTCGCTGAAGGAGGGCAGACCTTTTGTGTGCCTGCCTTCCATATATTTGGTTTTATTTATTTGTGATTGGGGCGTGCAGTCGTTGCCTCTCTTTTCATGAAGTTGCTGCTGGTATTTGCATGCACATATTGCTGCTGCTACTATGCAGCTACTGCTGAGTTTTAGAGGCAGTGTCTGCTGCTGTCTGCGTGCAATGATTGCTGGTCGTTGGTTTCGTGCATGCAGGTGGCGCGGCAAAGCAGGGCCCCAACCTGTTTGGCTTTCTTGGCCGAGCGTCGGGGTCGGCGGACTTCCCCTACAGCGAGGCGAATAAGAACAGCGGCATTGTGTGGAGTGAAAAGCACTTGTGGGAGTATCTTGTCAACCCCAAGGCGTATATCCCAGGAACGAAGATGGTGTTTGCCGGAATAAAGAAGGAAACTGAACGAGCCAACCTGATCGCTTACCTCGTCGAGGCCACTAAACCTTAAGCATCAGTAGCAGCCCTGACCCTTTTATCAAGCCATGTATCATTTTCGCCGGAACACTGCGAAAGCGTCGTCCACACAGAGCGGACCAATCAATCGTTGTTTTTGCTGTTGCAACATGCCTAAAACAAGACGCACGAAGAGGCTTCGAAATGTCCATGTTCGTTTTCTGCCTTTTCAGTAGGGGCAACTAACGCGCTGTTGCTGTATGTTCGTATTATCATGCGCTGGCTGAACTTTCCATCCCCTCTTAATTATTCAGTCCACCAAGGAGGGGCTTCAAGCGTCAAACATCATGTGCGGAAGGAAGCGGATGCACCAAACCGACTAGACGAACGAAGGAAACAATGTGTGGCGGCTGGGGAATCCTGGATGTATATGCTGTTCGTGCCTGTCGTTTACCACATCTTCATATTGATCCATTTTGCGCTGCTTCACAATGCATTCAGCATAGTTGTGCAGGAGTGTGTGTTTGTGTTTGTGTTTCTCTGCTCTTTTGTGTGTGTGTGTGTGTGTGTGTGTGTGTGTGTGTGTGTGTGTGTGTGTGTGTGTGTGTGTGTGTGTGTGTATGTGTATGTGTGTATGTGTGTATGTGTGTATGTGTGCGTGTGTGTGTGTGTGTGTGTGTGTGTTTGCCCGACGCTGTAAATAGGTGTGGTACAACAGTGGTACAAAATAATGCTTGTCCGTTCTTGTAGATATTTGCGTGCTATTTTTCGTTGCCATTATTTCGCTGCGTATTTCTTTACGTAAGACTAAAATATGCAAGTCGAATATTGGGGATTATTTATCACCTACAGAATTTGGTCCCGTAGCCCTTCATACATAGTAGTATGTGGATAGATACCATATATATGCATGCATATGTTAAGAACCACATTGCGTACGTGCCCACCGATATTCCGTAAACATTACAGTATTCCTCTTATTTTTTCTGGCTCGCTACCTGCACAGAGACGAGTATCCATCCAGTTTTAATTCATTATGAGGGCTCTGCCGGTCTTCAAGGGGAAATTATAGTTATGGCTTCACAGCGTAATTGCGGGCGGACAGATTTGTTGAGAATCACAAGGTTTAGAGCACACTGGAAGGAAACAGGATAAAATGACGACCGCTAGCCTATTTTCCCCCAGGTTTCGTAAGAGTCAAAACGTTAGAATGAAAATGAAGTAGGCAGGAGACGACCTGAGGGTGGTCTGCTAACGAGGAGCGCAAAAGCGTCGGCGCCGCGGATAGGGAAAGAGACACACATATGACTTTGCTTGCTTGTTTACGTTTACACGGCTTAGAAGGGACATGCTGCTAGTTTCCATACAGTGTAGACGTATTACTTTTGCAGAGCACTTAAGGGGGATGTGCTACGAGTGAAAACCAAGAAAAAAAGAGAGGATCCGTAGATTACGATTTGCAGCTTCTGCTGGTGGTCTCCGCCAGAGGTACAACTCTTCCTGAAACGCAGGAGTAGATAATATTGTAGAGTGGTCTTATTCTCTTGGTCAGGTGTACTGAGGGTCTCGTTGGGTCGTACCCATTCACTTGCTTATGGCTTCGCTTTTAAGTGGACATTGTTCCTGTTGTTTCATGGCTTGCAGTTTGTTGGTGTTTCATTTATTCACACTAGCACGGTAGTATTCTACGGCACGCATTCGTAACTAACTGCGCTAGTAGGTGTCTATCAGTCGAGATCTACACCTAACCCCAAGCAAAACAAGCGCGGGGTGTCGCTTGCACATTAAACGAATAACTACTGGCCGATGGATTGAGAAGCTGGCATTTCCATCCATGTTTGCTGTCCTTTTCCGTATTGTTGCATCGCTGTTTGCTCACAAACGGGAACTTTGACCTGTGCGTAGTGGTTGTAGGGTGTAGGGCACATGGTATGTGTAACTCTCTGACCGTTTCTGTAGTAAACAGAGTCTACGAGTTCGCTGAAATTTTCTTCTTCGTTAACCGGAGGATCGATGGCAGCTAACAACGGGCGGTATGCTACTTCTTGCAGATTGCCCTTATCGCATAACCAAAGGCAGAGCTGGAAGAAACACGGCACAACGAAAAGAGCAATATACCATGACATGTCTTGGACAAGAAAGACGTCTTTCAAGTGGTGATTTGGGTGACTGCGAATCGGGTGTAGACACAGTCAATTTTCTCGTCGAAAAGTGCCACATGTGTGCTGCTCGACAAGCGCGAGCAAAAGCAACAGCGAAAGCAACAGCAAGGCCAGCAGCAATACCATTGGTGCAAGCAACAGTGTTTAGGTGTGGGCGCATTTCGCAGCATCCAGGCTACCACCATGTAAGAAGAAAAGATGCAAATCGATGTGAAACCGGTTATTCAAGTACTGTTGCATTTGTAGGGTCCTGCTAAAACGTCTTCTTTCTGTTAAGCTCTATTCATGAATTGTTAACGGTCTTGTACTTTCTGAATCCGCACCAAATCAAGTTCTTCTTCTGTGACAGGGAGACCTAGCATTCCCAAAATTCGCCACAACTGGCGGCGCGTCACATGTTGCCTCGAAATCAAAACAAATTTAGAGTACAAAATCGCACTCAAGGAGAAGGGACAAGAACTTGCAGACAAGTGTGCATTCAAGCAAAGCGTAAAGCGCACATTAACTCAAAGAAAGACGCAATGATCTTACAACACATGCAAATTCGAATAAAGATGAGAAAAACTAAGTATGCGGCGCTATGAAGCCAGTCCACGAACTACACGAATCAAGCTAATGCAGTGCGTTTAAAGGGGGCAGTAGCACTAAATACAGTCAAGAGCCAAAGGCATATTTAACGGCGAAAGTGTGTTGTGAGAAGACTGTGTCATTTAATTTGTTCAAGTGCACTCATGCAAATGCTGAGTTCATTCGACTGCAATAGTATTACGCTTGTCAAAGCAAGTACTCAAGGAGTTGTGTGCTTGCTCATCAAAGGCAATACAGGTATGCAGTTAAATGCAAGAAAGTTAACCCATGATCTGTTTTGTTTGCTCTTTACGTGCGCTGCTTGTCGAAATCCTGAAAGGTGGGGAGAAGAATTTTCCTCGTTTGTTTGACTTGGAAAGCTAACCGGTCTTGGACAATCCTCAGCCTCCTCTGCAGACAGATGCAACTCTCCATTCATTTCTTCTAAATTATTGGGAAGGGCGTGCTGGCGTAGGGCCGGCTTCAACTCTATGTGTTTACCGTTAGCAGCACTTCCTTACGCCGAGTTGTTAGGCTGGACTTATAATGCAGGTGAAGTGAAGAAAATGCAGCAGCGTGCTCTCAAGTACACATAATTGCTGAGAGTTCCTAAAACTGTAGAGCAAAACGTTGTTAGGACTGGCGTTAATGATCTACTTCGTCCTCCTCTGAAGCCTATTCAAAACTCTGATGGCGTTCAATACAGTAATATCCAAAGGCCCTTAAACTGACAATGCATGCGTTGCAGAAGGCTAAGAGGTTAATATTTGGCCTCATTGGGCTTACGTAACCCACTTTCCCTTTTGTTGTTGTTCCTCCTTTATCACTATTTACTATTCTATTCCTGAGTCTTCTCTACTGTTCAACCGTTGTTGTGAGTCGAAGGCTTTTGCTCCCTTCATCAGCTTTAGTGCATTTTACTGTTAGTTTTTCTTCTATTCAAGACAAAATAGCCAAAACACTACAAGGTGCTTCCAATTTCCTTTCTCTATTGTAAAAGAGAACCTCATAAACTTTTACCAGTACACGCCCATTCTAGAGCCATGAAATTTGTTTCTAGTGGCCATATGTGCGTTGGCTCCACAATAAAGGCTGCACCTTATACCATAAACGCTAAACAATATGCCTCACGTTTCCCTGACGATGTTGCACCATTCCTTTGGAATTTGGTGGTCGATGTTTGCAAACTGTTAACGATGAATCCTAGAAAGTGTATTCCTTTTCGTGTTTTATTTGTCCTCACACCCTCTAAACCAAACGTAAAAGCTTAGTCATGAACGAGGACGAACTCTTTGCGCATGAATTTTGTTAAATTTTGTCCATCCACGTGGCAGAGTAGTTGTACTCGATACCCTATACCGTGCAAGTTCCTTGTCTTTTGTTCATGTTGTGTCCTCCGCAAGTACACTTCGTAATTTCTGAAACGTAGGCCCTTACCTATCCGTCTCCTAACAACCCTTGTTGAGTTAGTCTGGTCAAGCCCGCCTACACTGGGGACCGTGAATGGTACAACCTAAAACTTGAATACTAAGTCTCAGAGATTTCATCTTCAGTGACAGTGGTTTTCTCCCCATGTGCTTCAAACGCTAGACCATAATCAATAAAACGTACATACTGAATCCCACTTACAATCTCCTCATCGGTCATTGTGGTTTGGTCTTCCTGTGCATGTCGCAGCTCTACGGGAGTTCGGGTTGGGACGACGCGGGTTGGGTATTGTTGGGCCTCCTGAAAAATGAAAGAAATGAATTAATACAGGGAAGGGAGAAATGCTTTGAAAAAATGGATGGCAACGCGTAAAACGTGTGTTTAGGCATTGGCAGCTTTCATTCGTCTAATCCATTCGAATTTCTTTGGCGTTTACCAGCCAGATGCGTTGAATACGTTTTCACAAATGACATGCGATTTTTACAAAGCTAGGACATGAATACAATGCTTATAATGACGCATTAAGAAATGCCTGCACTTCAATACCATTTATCTGTACCCATGCACAAGAAGGCACACACCTTAGTCTTTTACAGTTAAGGGGCCTCTCCGATGTAATTATTCTGGTGAAGGCCAGCAGGAAATATAGTCTAAATAAAGGGGCTGAATGCTTCCAACGGAACTTCACTTGGCTAAATATAGTTAATGCATAAACGTAAATGTCACACATGTTCTAGCGAAGCAGATGCATCTGTGCACGCACCAGGTTGACGAAAATGTCTTAAACATGCAGAACTACGGTTGTAAATGACGTTTCACATATGCGCAGTTGCACTGCATTGAAAATACTAAACGTCTGTGGCGTATATAACCTTGTAGTCTTTGAAGTATTCTAAACGACATTGGTGTCTTTAACGCATCAAACAAGTCGATGCTGTAGAGGAGCATAGTGCACGATTCTGCAATGCATCGTCTGATCGAGGAAAATCCTTCAAGGGCCAGATGCAGACTTGAAGCTACTGCTAATGATGTACCGGATTGCCGAGGCTGCTGTCGATCATTTTGCAAAGTCTGTCGTATTCAAACATTCCGTCAGAGCGCACAAAAAGCGCCAAAAGGCTTTTCCAGTCGTTCTGCAGAGGCAGCAAAAGGCAAAACGCCCAGGTTCAGGTATATTTGGCTTTAACCAAGTCTGCGCCACCATTCACTCAGCACTCATTCCGCTTCATATCTGCCTTTGCTGTATATATAATGTATATATGTACAATACCTGCTTTCCACTTGAGTGGATTTCGTGGTGTATAACACTTGACGGACACCAAATATAATAGTTAAAGGCTGCCAAAGTGAACGCCTAGATTTCGCTTGTATCTTAGTGACTACCTTTTGAACTTTTCACTGGTGTCCGTGCTAAGTGTACTTTCATGCGCTCCTTCAGCTGCATTTACATATATTAGTTTGTTGAGGCTAGTTCCCCATGTTAAGGGGCAGCGAACCTCGCCCAGAGGAAGGCGCAGCACCGATAGAAGTACCGCCTGTGCCTGCTGCACTGTACAGACACCTTTTCTTAGGCCATCGAAATCTCTAAAACTCTCTCTCAGAGGCAGTTGGTTAGCTTCAACTCCTGTCTGCATCGCAGCGCAGTACCTCGTGTGCTTTTTTGTCTTTTCCCTCATCATTTCGTGCGGTATTGCTTTTCTTTCCACTTCTTTTTAGTGTACTTTACAGTCCGTTTCTACCTGGGCTGTGTTCTAGTTTGTACTGAAGTTTTGCTACTTCTGTGGTTGCTGCGGCTGTTGCACTGCAGCAGCAGGAGTCCTTGCCTGCCAATCGCTAGCCTCCCAACACAGCAAAAAGTATAAATAATGACAGGAACCTTTAAGCACTAAATAGATTTACAATAACGCAGCCCGCTAGCCAGCAGATCGAATTACACTAATACAATACGACATCAGGGGGGTAAAAATGGCAATAATAACGAAGATTTCTGAATGAAAGCCGTGCCCGTAATAGAGAACACAATAAATATTTAGTGCAACCAGAGAATAAGGAGAAACAAAATGGCCGAAACAAATCAAAAGCAGTACTGCAGATCACTTTAGGTGGATGTCATTTGATTTGGGTTGTGCTGCCTCAACTGTGATGGACCTTCATTGGAAGCAACTCAGAAACAGTCTCCTAGTGCAACTGCATTTACCAACCGAACCAGTTTTCTTTAGCTGTCCTCTGCTATACGCTGGTTCATACCGAGTGGATTCATCTCTACATCAAATTGTTTCAGACTCAGTTCCCAGCGCTTTCTGCGTCTTGTTTATTTTCGTTATGTGGCATTAACCAGCACCGCTTCAGCTGCGTGCAAATCTAGTGCTACTCTTACTTCGATCTTTTGCAAAACACTCCTTTTCTCTCTCGCCCAGCTTCTTTTTGTCTCCTTGGCCGACCTGGCTGCTCTCCCATCATCAAGGCCGCCCTCCACAGAAACCTCACCATCGTGCAAAACTGGGGAAGATGCACCTGCAGACTCGTCGTGGGCTCCTGCAGAGGCGTTCGGGGCACCTGAAAAGGTGCTGAAGCCCTGAGAAGTGGCCCTGAGGTTTCCTAAAGGGTAGTTGAGGGTCCTTTCAGACGATTTCGGGGGCCAAATGGCTGCATTGTGCGCCCCGTGGGAGAGCCCGGGTGACCCTTTGAAATTCTCCGCGGGAGCAGGTTCGGGGGAAGGCCCTTCAACGAGCTGATATAGCTTCCGGCAATCAACTAGACCGTCGGACGTTGTCAGGAGACGAGCCAATTGGTGTATTTCCTCCTCCGTAAATTTATCTGTAGACAAAAAAGCCGAATTAAAAGGTCGATGCCTCAATTGTGGCAGTGGAGGCTACACAACAATTGCATCGAGGAGAGCAGAGCTAAGCAAGAGATACGTGGTAAAAGTGTCATTCACGCGAGGCGTACTAGGCATAGAATGAAGCCATGAATTATCACAAGACTTGCAACGGAAACAACATGAATTAAATTCATAGCAGCAGCAAGGAGTAGAGTAAGATCAGTAAATGTATTGCTTCTACCGCGTGATAAATACATTCACTTGCCTGCGGTGAGGGCATCAACCCATTTTGGTGCACATACTGCAAATTTTATATTGCCCCTTAGTATACCTGAACCCCTAGGTACGCTGTTGTTGTCTTTATTTGCTGCTGCTGCACCTGCTGGTTCGGACGCTGCGGCTGTTGTTGCTCTTGCTATTATTCTTGCCGCAGCGCTCGCGACTTCTCCAGTTATGAGCAGCTGGTGCTGCTGCTGGTGCTGCTGTGTTTGTTCTTACAAAAAGAGGAATTTACTCACTTTCTCTGAAAGAGATGGGGAAGGCTCTACGAAAGACGCTGAGGGGAATTTTCCCGCTGTGCTTGTCGAAGGGAGCAAACGCCGCTCTCAAGTCCAGACACCTGGTATTGCTCAGCAAACGTAACTGTTCCAGAGCTCTGTTTGCATGCAGCGCCTCCTCAGGCTGTAGATGCACCTCGGGGGGCGGGTGCAGCAATTCGCCTGCCACTCACGCATGCATGCATGTACCTCGAGGCATCTGGCGAATGTCACGTATTTTCTTGCGTTGTGTTTTTTTGGAATTGCAGGTGTATGTGAGTTTGCTCCCCCTCTTGGGTGTGTAGAAACTGTTGCGTGCTGTTAATGGATTTGTTATTTTGTTGTAACAAGGAGAAATAGGTGATATTGAGGGATTTTGTTTGCCTGGCCTGAGCGGGACGAGGTATGGATCGTTCTCCAGCTCTGACGACCTGAAGACTTTGTCGACGTCACAGCAAAACTGTCTGTATTTCACTGCTCCTGTCAGCGGCGATATGTATACTTTGGCGACCTGCGTGGCCTCCTCCTCTGTCAGCCGAATTCCCGCTATGTCCAACACTCTGTGAAATTGGGGCAGCGACACTTCTCCGTGATTCAAGGAGTCAAATGGCTTAAAAAAAGCCTTCAGATTGACAGAACGCACAAACGCCTGCCGACGCACGTTGTCCAGAACAACGCTGCAGGCGCTGCTTTCTGTCTCCTCCATCGTCCGTCTGCGTTTCGCTCAGAGTTCTAGATGCCTAGCCCAGCAACCGCTGCAAACCATAGAGACAGGCTGCTGCCTTCTCCCTTGTTTGCCGCGAATGTGATCAACGCATGCACTGCACTGGTTCTTTTTAGTGCCGACGATATGCTGATGCAGCCTTCTGAGGAGCACTGCGGAGCCGCCAAGGGCACAAAGGAAAATTCAAGCAACTATTGTATATGTTTAAACTCAGGTCCCAGCCAAGTTGAGAGTGTAACACAAAGCCAAGCAGCAAAATTCAGGAAAATCCGGTGGGTCGTTCCAGCGGCAGTTTGCTGGTCTTTGGGTCCTCCCCTACATGCAGACTGAGAGCACCTCACGGGCATGTGCCGTGGCGGCTCATCAGGAATACCATGTGTTTTTGGCGTTCTTTCTTGATTGAGACTGTTCAATTGTATTCAATGGTGACTATTCAATTATTTCATTGGAAAGGAGGCAACGATTCTGCCTACGCTACGGTACACCCGGAGGTGCGGGCGAACAGAAGCTCTTGCTACACAGAAATTGCTTGTAACGCATAATCGGCTGTAGGGACGTTACTTGAGACACAATGAAGTCGGATACAGAACACTCTGGCGGCAAAATTTTTTAATCACTATAAAATTCTTTCTTCAAATCAAAAATATATAATGAGGCAGTGTGCGCTAAATTCGGTTTGCAGGCTGTAGTCCAGTTAACCCGTGTAGCCACGTGGCTGGTACGCTGAGGGCAGTGCTACCGCTCGTTGAGCACTTCCCCAGGGACTTTGACACTTTTAATCCAGTTTTGATTTATATAAAAAACTGATAAACTTTTTAATAGCTGTAGAATATCTGAATGCATGCAGTACATTCCAGGAACAGCACTAGTTAGTGCCGCCTAAAGTGACCTCCTGCAGCGGAGCCCCACACTGTGCCGGAATGCAAAGGTAAATAAGCAGATAAAAGCCAACTAATAAAGAAGATATGGGAAACACACCAAGTATTTTGTAATAGTGGATGCACGTAATGTCCTGGAACCGAGCCAGGTCCCCTGAGGTCTGTTGACTGCTCCGGCTGTCACAGGTGCAGTGGGTTCGATGCGTTTATTGTCCACTCAGTGCAGAGAGACACAGTCTCTTCGTAGATGCTCAGCAGCTTCATCCATATAAACACTCCTTTTGGTGTACGGCAACTATTCATCGAATACGTACATGCGTGCCACCAACATAAAATCAGTCCGAAATATATATATATATATATATATATATATA